ACGGTAGGGGGGAACACGTGTGTGTTTGTTTTTGGCAGAATTTCGAATGGGGCACCCGTAGGTTTCTGCCATGCCCCGGGGGTGGGGGATGGCAGCACTTGTTCTCCGGTCACCGCGACTTGTCCGGAGAAAAATGCCGCCCGGTAGCCGAGGATCGAACCGCGACCGGCTGCGTCGCAGCGGACGCGTCAGACCACTCGGTCACCTCATCCCCCGAATCAGAAATTATTTCAAACAATTCTATAATAATATATGCAGTTATATTTAACTGTTGTATTTAAAATGCATCATTTTATTAGTATACATTAAAATATAGCTAACTTTTAATGTTCAAGTGTAAAATTGTTTCTTAAGCTTATAGGGGTGTATAAAAAAATATATGACCAACACATTTTTTTCTTAAAATATAAAAACACGAGGAATCTGAGAAACAAACATGTCTTATCTGTCTGCTGACAGCCCGATCGTTTACACATTCTGGTTAGTTAATTCGACAATTTATTGCATAAACATTTTTAAATAACTTTTTTCCCTATTTTGCATGATATAATTACATCATAAAACTTTTTATTGTTTTAATTTATCACAATTGTATAGTGTAGTACCCATTAGTCTTTTTTCAGTAGCGGTTGAATTGTTTTTAAAATCTGTTTTTGATAATTATTAGATATGAATAGAAAATCCTGTTGAGAGTAAAGTACAATGGATGTATTATTCTTGACGTTTAACTTGAAAATGGATGTATATGGATTTTATGCAGTTTGATGTCAGAAGCAGTTATCATGGGACACACATTTAAGTGGTTGGAACAATTAGTTTTCAACCTCTTAAATTAAATGACGTTTGCGAGTAGTCTTATGAAAACTTGTCACGAAATTGTTGAGTCACCGAATGATATATCTGGATTAAAATCTAACTGAATGTCAGGGTTTTGAATTTCAGTGGTTTTGCCTTATGGCGACACAGCAATTTTTCAAACTGTATATTTTACTGAACGAAATCCCCTCGAATAGAAACGAATTAGTGAAAAGTACAATTTCATTAATTTTAAAACTAATATAATTGCTCGTCGATACATTAAAAACAACAAGCACTGGGATGAATATATGGATGTAGTTTTCATTTACTTATGTTGTTTGAAAGTTTTTTAAATAATTTTTATTGCATATTGTAGATATTGGTGAATGGTTATAAATGTTATAATAACTCTTAAAAGCGCAGTGACTATATCACAATCAATTTATCATCTTAGTTAAGTAGGATATTATGCGTAATTATTTAATTGACATTAAGCCATACAAAATATAATGATACTAACAATAAAAAGGGTCGTGAGGTTCATTTTAAAATAAATAGTTAAAATTATACTGTAAGCTCAAAAATAATTGAACAGTCGCATAATAAACTATAATGGCCTTATATTTCTATAATATGCATTCTGGGACGTTGCACATGCCTCCATAGGTCATAATAATAGTAATTGCAATTATATAAACATGTATCGTATTTTATGTGAATTGTTTAATCCATTAAAACTAGTACACTATTCTACAATTATTTAAAATATTATTGATTTAAAAAAAAACTATATATATTTTTAATTTTGTACATGAAGGTTAGTATGATGGTCACACATGAATTATGTCTTCCAACGGACACAAAGGACTTTTTTGTACTTGTCTAGATACTCAAGTAGTAATAGTGCATACACGCATTCGATTCGGTCGTATGTATAACATAAAGTGTTTGAAGTAATATCATAGCTCATTATCTGTATATTTATTATTTAAACAATGATACAAATATTAAATTAATCTAAATTTTTGCCACATTTTTATCATTTTTTTTTTTTGTTACGAAAATAAGATAACTTTATTTTGAATCGAATTAACTAACAACTACATAGGCATTTAATCAATAAATTTATATCTACAATATTTTTACGTTGGATCAATAAGTTTTATGGCACAGTTATTTACATTAAACTTTTTTTATTATTTTTTTACAATTTATTGATTATTTTTTTCATTCCATTTATAATAGCTATATACAATTTGAAGTAGCCACGATAACCTTTTGAAATGATTTATCGTCGCGGACTGGAAAAAAAAAACTAAATGAAATGATTCAAAAATGCCTCTTGAATCTCTTTTGGGTTATTGTAACAAATACGAAAAAATTGTTTTTTTTTTATTTAATTTTAATTTTATCCTTCCTCTGAACTAACACCAAAATGACAAGAGATAACATTTTTTTTTAGTTTTTGAAAGGCTCTTCAATTTCTGAGCCACTCAATTCCAATTTCGATGAGCTACCCACTACCTACGGTTCGTAAAAAAAGCACGCGTCAAAAAGTGATGTAAGTAGTATACTTTTCGGACTGCTTAATGATGATGAACTAGTTGTAATTTACAAGTTGTTTAATAAACATTCATAATAAAAAATATATTTTTTTGCTAATGTTTCTTTTAGAAATATGTTTTTTATTGTTTATTAAAATTCAGACAAAGATATCGTTTTCAGTATAATGAATTAATTTTTGTTAAGAATTAAAAAGACAGTGGTATTTTCAATATTAAATATATTTTAAAATTTTACGTAGATAATTAAAAACATTATACCATACAATATTACAATTTAAAATAATATGTACCCAATCATATTTTATTGTGATAGTTAACAGAGTATAATATGTCTTCACAATTTTAAAATTATTCAGGATTTAAAATACAATAACTTTTATGTTTTTAATGTTTTAAACTATACATCGACTGTTATGACTAAATGGTAAAATGTAGATGTTGGATTGGTAATACAAGTTGACTGTTGTAGTTGACACTTAAGAGTCAATCATTAATATTTAGGCTTCCTTTAATTAATTTCTGCCGAATTAGAACGAAACACGAAATATTAAATCTGCGGAAGAATAGTCTTAATTTGTCAGGATGAATGCCAAAGTTGTAGACGATTAAACTTCTAATTAAATCGTTTGCCACCTGTCACGTCATAATTATTATCGTTTAATCAGTACATTTATTTAGAGTCGAACAACTTTAACACAAAAGAAACGTATACAATTCTGATAATCGATTGGTAAACATGAATATTTTGCACGACTAAAACCAAGAAAATTGTTTCCATCGTGTGATGAATCGATGTTTTAGATGAAAATGTCGAAAAATGAACTTTGACCTTTACTGATTTCTGTTAAAGTTATGTTTATGAACTCAATAATAATTAAAGTCATAATAATTTACAGCGGACGCCATTAAACAATAACTAAAGTATGCGCAATTGACGAGGACAATGTTCGCTAAACGATAACTAATTTATGAGGCCGGTCTACAGGCGGTGTGTAGTTGAAATGCTTACACTGGGCTTGCCATTAGCTGGCTAGAAATTTATGAACGTCCACGTGTAATTTTAACCGTTTTTGGGTACAGCGCGGGGAATGTAAAACTTTTGAATTGCATATTATTTTACACAAGAGAGATAAAAGCTCAAAGTTTGTACTAGTCACAAAAGGCTATAGTGCGTTTGTGTTGCACAGCGGGAGAAAAGCGCGCTTCCGGCGAATCGCCGATATTGGAAAACAGAGATATTGTATAAAGGTGAATGAAAAATTAGGCCAAAAGTCTTTGATAGCTCACTTGTTTAATTTCCGTATGACTGCTTTGAGTGTGGTGAAATCAGGTCGGTCGGCCGGGTCTTCGGTCCAGCATCGTTTCATTAACACACCCACCTCCTCGTCACAGCTCAAATCCGCTACACTTGGCCTTAGACATTTTTCCTTGCTCTTCACGCTGTCCACGATTTCTGTAATAAGGTAAAAAAAAAAATCTATTAGTACATCTATAGGTTTTATGGGTACACTTATTTATTTATTTATTTTTTTTGTAATCCGAACAGTATTGTATAGGATTGACCCACATTAAAATGTAATCAGTGCAAGGTATATTCACTAGCTATCTATATATAAATAGCTTTATACATAAATTGAGAAAGACCAACATTTCTTGATAAAAAAATAATGGTAAAACGGAACTTGTAACTATATAGATCACTATTATTCATTGAGCAATCTACTTGAATGGTAATATAAGCATAATACACGTTTTCAATGCAAATACGAAAAAGCTAAATTAAGATATTCTATTTATCAATATTAAGGATATAATCAGATTAAGATTTAAGACTGATTTGATTGATGTAACGATGTATCAAACGAAATCGTTATGAATTATGATCATACAAATTGTACACCGTATTAGATTAGCTAACGCTATAGCGGTGTAGGTACTTAAACTGTTAATTTTTCACAAATATTTTGCACAAATTACTTGAAAAATAACTAAACAAATATCTTTAAAATATTATGATTTACCAACATTCATGTATTTCATAGTCGAAAAAGTTAAATTATTGACTTATAAGAACTTAAAATCTAAACTTCTATAACTAACATATTGTTAATTAGTTTTATTTTATTAAAATTGAAATCGAAGAGAAAAACTTGGATAGTAATCGTTACACATATTGAACAAAGGTAAATCGATTAAAAACGAAAATAAAAATGTTCTTTTTCCTTTATAATGTTCGCTTTTGAATATCGCCCAAGTACAATATTTTATAATATGATGGTACCAGAACATTACCGGCTGTATATACTTTTACGGTTATCCTTGTGTAGAAGATTGTAACAAAGTTTCTATAGTCAAGTTTTGATTTACATATTAAAATGTTTGTCATTGCCCTTGTACAACATCTGGTGACAACCTAACACGGCGAAACTCACGTATTTTACGTCATAAAATAAAGCACGTTTTAGCGTTCCACGTAGTGGCTAATGAACTGCAGTTATGGGCTGTGAACAAGCACAAAAGTGCGAATTTCGGTAATTACGAAACATAACATACATTTAACGTTTGCTTTACATAAATTACAATGAAAATAATAGTAGTAGTAGTAGTAGTTGTACAATGTTTATAACTCATAACTATTACAACAATTCAACGCGTTTTATCATCGCAACATCAGAAATTACATCTGTACATTGTATTTTATTAATCCTGAACAGTGTTTTGAACATGGTTTTAAATTTAAAGTTAATTTTGATTCGGTCGTGTTGTTATCGTGTCAAGTTTAGATTATTACTTCTACTAAATCAGCGGAAACAACACGTGTTTATCAGTTTTGAGTTGATCTAAATAAAAGCAACAAGAACCGACAAACCTTTACTTAAAAATGCTATAAGAGTAATAATATTTTATAGTATAAGAAACGCGAGTGACGGGCTATTATTTTACCGGACAAAAATTGTAAATTAATTGTTATTTTTTAACAATCTTACACATCGTTTCTTCGTCTGGTTGTAAAATAACTCTAGTTCGATATATAAACCGTTTCTATTCGTTTGACAATTTCAATATTGTTACGATTTGTGACTCACACCCGGGCGAATATTTATTGTCTAATACTGAATTCGGATGCTTTTGTTTTGTGGTATCAACGCAAAAGTGATTCATCGGATATCGGAATATTTTGAAAATGTCTTGATGGTTATACTGAAAAAAACATTTCATACTATTTTCTAGTTGTATAACGTCCGTATAAAATCCACGATTAATGAGCTTAAACACTTTATCGGAAAATCTTAACAAATAAGCTGCTCCGGGAAGGTTCGAGCTACATCCATATACACATATATCATAAATTAAACCTCAAGCGATCGATCAAAACTAATTGGATCGAACGACGGACTGGGTAATATTATGAAATATGTTTACTGTAAGGATTCAAAGTCGTACTGTTGCGTCACGAAAGTTGATTAGAAAATCGAGACGAAGCGAATAAAAGATAGAAGAATAAAGAAAGAGAGAGAGAGAGACCTCCGGAATGGTTGGATTTGACCCGACCCGACCTCGGCAGCTGACATGGCGGCGAAATACTTGGACGGTATACACGTATTCTTATTATTGCAATAATGATGTTTCATTACAATGCTATGGCAATAGGTGGAAATACTCATAATAGTGGACAATATGGGTGCATCGAAGTGGGTGGTCTCAATAAACTATTATAATAGGCCTACAAAATTGCAACTGTAACAGCCGCCATAAAGACGAGTGATTATAATACAAACGGAAGAAATACAATAATAATTTAATCACGTTTCGCGCATATCAGCGAATAACTCGAGCGATGATATTAATATTATAACTAGGGTAATAACGATAATATTATGCAAAAATAAAATCGTATACTGGGTGTGACAGAATGAAATAAAAGATGTAATCAACTGAATACCTCGGTGCAATAACTTAATTTATGCTTATAGATTTTTAATTACATTTCTATTCAGATATCATACGATTGTTGGATATGGTCAGTTCAGTTAATTTTGGCATTTGATAAGCGTATGACAATTTGAAAAAAAAGAACTGTGGCCCTAAGACTATACTATTATATTGGAAAAAAATCACGATCCCTAAGTTTAAGCTAAAGGTATATTGTGATATTTTAATATAGATAATATAGTTTTCGGACCTCTGTCAAGCAGAGGTTAACGTGACGTGCCAAGACGAACCGGGCGGGTTATAATACTAACAAAAATTAAATAATGTCGACCAGAACAAAATTCACAACATAATTTATTCGGTAACTGTTGTTCAGATAATAATTCCTACACACCCTGTATAATAGTTGTACGTTATACTGGCAATACAATGATTATCGCGACAATATAATAATTATTAACGAGATGCGCGTTGTACGTCGTTTTCGACCCGCCGTGCATCAATGCCCTTATTTTGCATAACCGGAACGCCGTCTCACTGTGAATGATAATATTGTTCTGTATTCCGCGGCTGTCATATTATTATTATCATACTCAATGAGATAGGTAATAATATATAATAATGTTATTGCACACTAGAATAATGCGATATAGTTTTAACTCGTTCCGTTTGTAATGAATTAGGTGATATCAAAATGAAAACGCATTTATAGGTATTATTATAAGAGTATAGCAAATGATTGGGCACACACAGTAATAATTATTGTTATAGTTGATTGTTATTGATAACAATGGAAAACAAGTTATTTCAGTTGGAATATTGTGTTATAATTTTTTTCGTTAAACTATTTTTTTAAAACGACAAAATAATCATTTGATTTTTTTTTTCGTAGAGTGTTCTACCACAATATACCGAAGGTAGCCGTCCGGATCACTGTCTTGTCTTTTTTTACGTGACATTTTATTGGCTAACGATACCGACAAATCGACTCGTTTATTTTATTCGAAACCTTTACAATAGTTCCATCAATGAACGATATAGTTCAGTAACTGATCTTGGTTATCACCCCGGAAGTGCCATGTAGCCGTTTTCGTTTTTTGATGACAGTAATCATGAAATTAGAACCATTGAGGGTTCCTATTGAATAAGAAAAAAAATAAATAAATAAATAAAAACGGTAAATATTAAATATTAAATATTAACGGTCGGTAATTACAGATACGTTTAGTTTAGATTTGAATTCATTTTTTTTTTTTTTTTTGAAATTGTATATGTGATTATAATTTACAAATACAATTTTCATTGGTTTATAATTTCGATTAAATTTCCAAATGCGGTTGAAAAAAAAAATTACACTTAAAAAAATTAAAATAGGGCCATTTAATACATGTTGTAAATTTTAGACTATATTTAATAATATATGATAGGTAACTTTTATATACCATTTTAGATTAAAATAAAAAACTTTGTTACAAAAATCGCCATGATTAAAAAAAAAACATTTGTCATTTCCTATTTAAATTTTAAATGAATTCTTGGGGATAAATAATACAATTTAATCATGAATCTCAATTCTATCGAGATAGGTCAATACAAATAACATAACAACAATGCTCGATCACTGAATAAACATGAAGGTGTAATTTTTTATTGAATAAATTGGAATAAACTTTGATATTTTCATTTAAATTACTATTCTACTTTCAACATAAATCTAGCAAATATTTAAATAAGTGTTTGAATGTATTGTGTTTTTTAATCAATATTTTACATGAGCGTTTTAAAATATTTAACTAAATATTCAATATTTGTAATCACTCTTAAAGCATATTTTATTATTTATTATTAATATAGTTATTTATTTGTCTCGCATTATTCATTGATTATAAAATGTTTAATGAGATTGCAAATAGACACTTTTTTAGAAATATTACATGCCTGCGTTCACATGTATTTTAGTCATTAAATCAAAATATTCATATTGAGGCACTTATTGAGACATTAGTTGTTCCATTTAAGAAATTTAAAAATAACTGAATTCGTTAACAAGTTGACTTTACATCGGCAGGAGCACTTTTTCAGTTGCAGCAATTTCTTGACGAGTATATATATTTTACATTTCATAAATTTCTCAATTTTTAATGTAAAATATATTCAAAGACATAAAAAATATAAAATAAATGCTCTGGCCGATGCAAAGAAGACATGTTTACCAGTTCAAACATCTTTTTTTTTATATGAAACCAATAGAAGTTCCTTATAATATTGTTGTCAGTTGCCACGGTTGTTTTGATGAAAAATTAATAGCGTTTGCAATCCTCTTAATTAGGTGTTACCTTTACATTTTTACTTTTTATTTACAGTATTTTTTTTCTTTTAAACCATAAAGTTTTTCGGTTTAAACACATATATTACTAAATAAATATTAGCTTATAATACTTTGTTTTTGTATAAATGTAAAATATGAAAGTAGAAATGTGCAGTACATTAATATATATATACCTATTTGCAGTAGTGTTT